TCAGCATCAACGTGAACTTCGCAATTACTTATATGTACTCATATAAAGTCTTGGCGAGCCGTTCGACCTGCAGTCAGAAAATATCCGCGAAACTGTTTAACGATGAACCATTATCTTTCACCATATTCTTCTTTAGTGAGACAAAATCCGTAGGCTGTCTACGGGAAGGTTTTGAGCATATGTTATGAACATTAGAACTTGGATTAGAGTTTTCACTGTTGATCGAGATCTCATAGCAGCTCATCCACATAACTAACTAGCACTAGTTGAATTAAGTATAAAATAAGTATGTAAAACTATTGAAATCAAAACTCCGCCGGTGTTGGTCCTAAGCCCGGTTGAGAAGGAAGGAGGGTCAGAGACCGTGGCAAACACTACGTAAAATTTGGCCACCTTCCACTCATGGTATTGATGCCATCGAAAATTTTACCTGCCCGGTGGTCGGCCGGGTTACAAAGGGCCCCGCATCCTGTTGGGGAACTGAAGTAGACTACGAAAAGTCAGCGATCAGAAACTACTGATCGCCCTCTGCCAAAAGGGGGTGTAGCAGCACAATATTGGCTGACGAAGACTGAAGGAACGACGACCAAAACACCAGTCAGCAACGAAATCACCACCTTTTCTGAACGGAGGCTGCAGAGAACGCGATGCCGCCAGAGCACGTTAGAAAAGGCTCACAAGAACGACACCGACACTGGCAGTTTACAGGCAGAAATTTCCTCACTCCCTGGTAAAGAGCCAGACTTTGTTGATCAGGCCATAGAGAACCAACTCAACATTGTTGGACTCTCATCAACGAAGCGCAACGCCTCTGGCGTCCTGAAACTCAGCGGATGGAAGCAGTTCTACTCAGACGTCGACATCACGACGCGCGCTTAGCCGGCTGCTGGTGATCTAATAGAACCCAACCTCGCAGATAGAATCATTGATTTCAAGCTTGCCAGGGAAAGGGTGGTAATCCTCCGACTGATGATACAACAGGCTAAAGCGATTACCTTGGTACAGGTCTATGCCCCCAACTTATAGGGGAGGGAGAATATGAGACCTTCCTTGAGGAACTGCAATGTGCTCCGCCCGAAGTGCCGAATACAGAGTCCCTCATACTGATGGGCGATTTTAATGCGCATGTCGGAGTAGATAGACGCTGAAAAGTGGAATGGTATGATTGGAATAAACGGCCCTAGCGACTTCCACTGAAACGGCATGAAGTTATTGCGGTCTTGTGTAAACAACGGATTGTCTATCATAAACACCTTCTTCGAGCATCGAAAAGTGCACCAGTAAACCTGGTACCGGGAAGCTTGTGCACAGAAGTCGATGATCGATTTGATCATCGTATCGTCTGACTTAAGAGCTCAGTAATGGATGTTCGCCCTAAGAGAGGGGCAGAGCTATCAACCGATCTTCACCTTGTTGTTGTTACGTGCGCTGTAAGAAATGGAGTACCATACGAAAATCTGGTGGCAGAAGCAACTGGAGAATCAAACGGAAAACATTATCTTCGGTGGACACGAGAGCGAAATTTGCAAACAACATCGCACGTCGGTTTAAACAAATCCCAGCGATGACAACTGATGTGGAAACCGAATGGCAGCTCTTTCTGACTTAAAAGCGGCATACTCGAGGCTGCCGCCGAATGCTGCGGATTTAAATGGGTTGGCCTGCCGTCTAGAGATTACAAAAGATTTTCCTGGTGGGCACGAGAGGTGCAACTGTCAGTTAAAGAGAAAAAAGTAGCGTTCAAGAAATGGCTTGGAAACAAAGTGCCTTATACTTACGTGCGATATGTCGAGGCACGTAAGGAGGCATGGAAAGTAGCGGCGAAGGCCAACGTTGATTCTTGATAGAAGTTCGGTGGGGTGTTGGAGTCGAATTTCCACACGGCAAGCAAAGCATTGGCAGAACATCAGCCGGATCCGAGATGAAAAGAAGAGCAGTCTCAGAGTCTTGAAGGAGAGGTCTAGACACCCTCTTACCAAGGATGATGACATTCTTTGGCAATGGAGGGAGTACTTCGAGGAACACCTTAACCCCGCGCAGCCGCAGGAAGACTCGCCTGTAGAGCAGAAGGGTATGGATATTACTATATCTGTTGACGGAATTGCACAGGATGTGAAAAGCTTGAAAAATGGAAAAGCTGCTGGAATTGACGAAATCCGCTTTGAGATGCTCAAGGCATGTGCTGGCTCTGAAACTGCGATGACTGCGGAAAAGGCACCAGCGGACTGGAGAACCGGAGTTATTCTACCCGTATTCAAGAAGGGAGGCCGCAAGGAATGCTCCAATTATAGAGTCCCTGCGTCATTGAGCCTCCCAGGAAAGTGTACGCAAAGGTGCTAGAAAGGAAGTGGCGCGGAATAACTGACTCCAAGATACAAGAAGAGCAGCGTGGCTTCCGGCCCGTTCGAAGCGCCTTTGACCATACATTTGCCCTGCGCCAGAATTTTGAGAAATCGTAGGAGTACGCCTGTCTGATGTAGATGTTTTGTTGACCTAGTGAAAGCCTATGACCGGGTCCCACGCAACAGTCTGTGGTCATGCTTTCGAGTATATTGGATAGATGTCCGCTGATAAGGGCCGTCCGATCGCTTTATTCTGATAGCAAGTGCTGCGTCAGAGTTAATAGCGTTAAGTCGAAACCATTCAACGTTCGCACTGGTCTCCGCCAAGGCTGCGTCCGGTCCCCTATCCTGTTTGTGTTGTACATGGATAGAATAGCCAGGAGCAGCAAGGCGATGAGTCTCTCCATGTATGAGATGTAGAGATGGGAATGTTGCTGATTGCAGACGACGCTGTTTCATTGGTATGTTCTGAAACTGATCTACAGTGTTCCATAGAAACGTAACAGTCGAGTGTGACGTGGCCGGCATGAGCTTTAACGTATCTAAAACGAAAAGCCTAGTGCTTTCTCGTTCTCTTGCCCGTTGCTCTCTTCAGATTAATGGAGAGGCAATGGAGCAGGTGGAGAAGTTCAAGTATCTCGGAGTCGTGTTCACTAGTGATCGAAAGTTTGAGGAATAGATCGACCTGCGGATTGGAGTAGCCAGTGGCGTTCTAGTGACCTAGCTCGAATTATGACTAAAGCGTGAGTCCGAAACCTAAGCTCTCGGTATTCAAGTCGATCTTTTTCCCCATACTTACCTACGGTCATGAATCGTGGACCATCACTGAAAAACTTTGAACCCCTGTGCAAGCTGCTGAAATGGGCTTTCTTAGACGAGTCGCTGGCCTTACGCGTCTCGACATC